TTTATATGAGGAAAAAATTAATGTGTTAATGAAGGGGGCTCATACACCTTAAACCCCTTCGAATATGTGACTATTGTAAGAATTGGGATATTTTATTTTTTTTTTAAATCAATTACTTCCAACTTTTTACAGCTGACTACATAATATAGCTGCTTTGGAAACTAGTAACCAGAAAGTTTGTGTTGCCACAAATGTTTTTATAATTTAATCCGCTTTGTGACAAAATGTTTCGTCATGTTTCCACCTTGCGCGCACAGTTTAATACATTCTGTTGCATAATTTAATTCCATATTTAATATATAACTTTTATAACGAAAACATTACAAATTTTGTTAATAAAATACATTTTATAAACTCGACTCAAAATAAAATAAAAATTTAACATGAAATTCTTAGAATTTTTGGTTCACAGTAGTTTCCAGATGTTATAAAAGCTATATATTAAATATGGAATTAAATTATGCAACAGAATGTTTTAAACTGTGCGCGCAAGGTGGAAACACGACGAAAAGTTTTGTCAAAAAGCGGATTAAATTATAAAAGTATTTGTGGCTACACAAACTTTTTTGATCACTATTTCACAAAGCAGCTCTATTATGTAGTCAGCTGTGAAAGGTTGGAAGTAATTGCTTTTAAAATAAATAAGTTATCCCAATTCTTGCAACAGTCACATATTCGAAGATCTTATGGGTTTTAAGGTGCACGAGTCTTGCGAAATTTTACCTTAATAATTAAAATATTCGAATCTAAAAGTATAAAATTGCTTATAATTTCAAAACTTAGATTTTACATTTAAGAACATAATACACCATTCAAAGTTTGGAATGACCAAACAGTTATTCATGACCCGGATTACGGATGATTTTAAATTGTGCTGTATCTTTTTTTGAAAGCTGATGCGCACGTTTGAGAATTTCCACAGATGCATAACTGGGAACTTGTTATCCAAACTAAGATTAGACTTCTCGTTGAAATAGTTTTCTTCTAACATTGAACATTCTGGGAATGCTTAGGCAAAACGAATTAGTGGAATATTGCATTTGTTTTATATCTTTCTTTGCATGTAGGCAGAAACAAGTTTTTCTCAAATCTTTTTGACTTCTGCAAGCGCTTTTCAGCAGGTAGCTACACTGTCCGCCAGATGAACATGTTTCAATGCGTTATGTTGTAGGCAACTGATTTTGAGTGATTGCGTTTTTTTAATGCACTCGTCTCATACTGCGTGCGTGCTGGTTATACTAAAGATCGTGTGGGGCGGTAAGGAGGGGGTGCTCGCTGAAAAGACGAGGTGCCTCCGAATTTCCCATTTCAGTGCTGTTGCCCAAGGCGGGGGCGTGTCCGAGCGGTCAAGCTGGGAAGAAGCCTGACTGATTTATGGCCCTGCTTTTCTAATGGATGCCGCAACAGTTAATGAAGAAACGCCCACTGGGTTCTCTCAAACACCCGCTCTAGTTTTCATTTTTTTAACCTTCCTTTAATTCAAAACTAGAAGGGGCGCCCCGTTTTAAAGTGATGGTCCATTTCCTTAGCTGCCACATGTGCCATCTGCCGTTTGTTTGTTTACTTTTTGTGCCATGTCTTGGGCCTAATCAAAAATGGAGAACGTTCCATGTTTTCTAAGTAGTTTGAGTTGCCAAACCGCAATTTTTCTTTTAAGCTCATCCGTGGAAGTATTCGTTGTGGATACCAGAAAAAAACAAATAAACACACAAACTGTGCGACCGTGAGTAATTGACATGGAAAGAGACTGAGACAATAACGAAAACATACTTCTACTTCTTCGAGTAGAATTTAAATTTGTTTTATACTTTTGTAATACAGTAAATATGCACTGGGGGGGCAGCGTTTTTTTTTTTTTTTTTTTTTTTTTTAACAAAATAATTTTCTCTTCGACAGACAGAAATGCCAGGCGTCCTTTCAGCTCGCTTTACCCATTTATGTTTGAACTTATTCAAAAGGGATGCTCGCTTTAAAACTGCTTAATTACCACAGCAACACATGGATCTGTGGTCAGTTTTTAAAATATTTGTTTTGTTTGTGTTGGTTAGAATGAAAATTATTATATGATGATACATTATTAGAATTAATACGGAATGCTTTTTCTCTTGCACTAAAGCATATTAAAAACTTCATCAATTCCTGTAAATCATGACAATTATTTATATTTTGCTTAGAAAATTCAAGAGTCAATTCTCCTGGCAGATTTTTTAGTATTATGTTAGTCGTTTGTTTGTGTATGTTTCCGATTTGATATTTAATCCTCTAAACATCTAATTTGAGTTGGGCTTCAAAATAAAGGTTACGAAGAGCCTGAATGTTTAGAGGCATTTTTACATTTGATAAATGCTCAAATTTTGACAAGTGAGCATTTATTAAAATGTCTCTTTGGCCAAATGTTTCAGAAATTAATTTAACAGCCTGTTTATAATTCTCTGAGAATCCTTTAATGCTAGCTAGGGCTTTACCACCTAATAACGACTTTAAATAACCAAATTTGTCAACCTCAGTTAAATTAGAATTATTATGCACAGAAATCTCAAATTGGTTCCAAAAATCTAAATATTCTGAAGGCTCACCATAGAATCGAGGAAGCAAAAGTTTAGGAAGTTTAGTTCTGTTTTCTAAATGCAAAGTTTTATTTTCTACGTGAACATTTTCTGGATTCCCTGTTTGTTCACCTCACTGATATTGAACTTTTCCAATTGATTTAATTTTGTTTTGCAACTTTACTTTAACTGGTATTATTTTTTCGTTATATTCATCTACTGTGTTAATTTCATCCTTAATTTCTTGTTCTTCTTTCAACAATTCATCAATGTCACTATTTAGTATGTTAATAATTTCAGTTTTACTATTCAACTGTTCTAAATATGAATCAATATTAGATTGATATTTTAAAGATGATATTCTTTCAGCTTGCTTTATCCATAATTGAGTGAAATCATTCAGAAGGATGCTTACTTTAAACTGCCTCTTTAAACCGTTAATTGTAAAGCTTAAAATCCCTTTAAAACAAATTTCTTCCAGTTCACCGTTAATGAAGTAAATAAAGTCATACTGTTTGTAATCAAACAGGTTTCTATCTCTCTGCATTATTCATAAATCGGGTTCCTGCTCATACGTTCTCCAAATTGCATGTTCCCATCCTTTCATATACTTTAAATCCAATACACAATCTTCAGATTACAATGTTTATACAGTACCTAATGTGGTGTCAATCCTATGTAATATTTTTATAACAGTAGTTTCCGAGTTTAGGTGTTATCATCTATCGACAGGCGTTGAGATGATGTAGGAAAGCGACTCTGGTGTGAGGGGAAGTAAGAGGCACTGAGAAGCAAATAGACAAACATAACACACTAGGAACATTTCATTGCTGAAACGTTTCTGTGACAAACATTTGAACAGTAAAGAATGGTGATTACATAAAATTTTACAATCATTCATGTTTGCAAATCTGTTTGTCGACCCTTTAAAAAAATTGATTAAAGTTGCACGCAGTGTCGTTTTTCTATTCCAAAGGATCGGAAATTACAAACTATCAATCTTAAAATTTTAAAAACTGACCACAAATCCATGCGTGATAATCAGAACGCCTAAGTAGCTTCGTGACCGTCTCTTTGTGAAGCCCTCAGGATAAGCAGGATGAAATTTATAAACAATAGCGACACAGCAAAATAAATAGCTGTAAATACATTGATGGAAAACCAAAGAAGTAGTTTAGGTGACAAAATTCGGAATGCGTGTTTGCACGCACGAAAAATGACGTGTATTCAGATTTCGCAGTACAGGAATAAATGTGGCGTTAATAGCACCGCTGTCATTATCCAAATTATACTTCCTTTAAATACTTTGGAAACTTTGTTTATCTTTCGGATTGTGCGGATTACAGCGTGCTTACAGCAATGGGCAAGGGTGATATACTGTCTCAAGAAGGCCTTGGTCCGACTTCACTCAAAGGGGAGATCCAGGTATTTGCCACATGTAATATATATATGACGCATCACACTGCAACTGCAGCAGGCAATCAAGCTGGAGTGACACAGAGTGACTGGTGTCACTCTGTGTCACTCCAGCTCTGGCGGTCACCAGAGTGTCACTCTGTGACCGCCAGAGTGACACAACAAACTGCAACAAATCGATTACTTGAGAGACCGCTTTGAGCAGACGCCCTGTAGCAGCCATCTTACCAGATTTCTTATCCTTTGACACCACTGTTCTCTCTTATCAGCATGGTTTTATGTGGTTATAATTTTCAAGTAATGTAAGCCATCCAAAACGATAAGACGACAGGCGGCCTGTCTACGAGATATAACAAAACAGGCACTTTATCGTCGCCTCCAGGAACGACAATTCGACAAACGGCCTGGCTGCGTGGGAGTTTCCGTGGTTTGTCTTATGTGTGACCCGAATCGACGCAGTTTTGTTAAGAAATCTTCCATAAGGTATCTTTTACCCTAGGCAGACAGCCTTTTGTGCTTTCCCATAATTTAAACAATCCAGTTTTGTCCAATCCAGGATTGACAACAACGTTGGATGGCGCCTTTTGTGCTTTGCCATAATTTAAATAATCCAATTTCGTTCAATCAGGAATGACAATAGCGTTTGATGGCGTCTTCTGCCATAACTTAAATAAACCAATTTCGCCCAATGCAGGAATGACAACAGCGCGTTCCGATGGATGTTAATGAATAATAAATTTTTATACTTCAAACAGATTTGTCCTACAAGCATTTTCAAGAAGCTCTAAATGTATAATCCGATTCTACAGAAATATATAATCTATAGAACATACAGAAATATATAATGTAGAATCTAAATGTATATTCAGATTTTACAGAAGAATTTTTCAATAGCAGTACATTTAAAAACCATTCACTTAGCAGCTTTTATTTATAGAAGAACGAAAAATTAACAGCGACGTACACAAAAATGCACCTGCCCTGATAAATAACTAAAAAAAAAAAAAAAAAAAAAAAGAAACTAGAAAAGAAACATACTACAAAAAAATTCTGCTATTCTTCAGAGCGAGAGCGCGCAGATGCCAAAGCTACATCTTCCATCAGCTTAGACTTTTTCACTTTTGTCTTCGGAGCACCTGAAAAAGAGGAAAATCATAATGTAATCAGAGGATTCAATTTTTCAGTTGTTGGAACTATACATTTTTCTCGTTAAAAACGTCTATCGTAGGCTCTCTTTTAACCGGATCTCGACTTTAATCGGCCGTAATTAATAATTTAAGTATAAAAAATCAACTAATAATAAAAAAAATGAAAATTCTGTAATTATGTATTTTAAATATGGGGAAAAACTTAAAAAAAAAAAAAGGGGGGGGGGAAGAAACTCTTTGCGCATTAACAGTATCGCACACTCCTCTTAAACCAAAAACAAAAGGGTCCCAGAATTCAAAGCTATTTAAAAGAGTGGTTTCATTCTGAGTTGGCTCCAGTTGAAACAAAACACCTCAAGTCAAAACCTTTACCAGTGAAATATTGCTTTTATTGCACGATGCTTCTTCTCTTCCTAAGTGAGGATGAATTACAAGTGGGTGCTACTGAGGGCAGTCTTCTTGCCAATTAACGTAACGTCTGTATAACAGCCCATGGAATATGGTGTGATCGAAAATTTAAAGAGACGGTATCGAAGAAAACTTTTGACAGTTTTTCAGCAAGGAAGCTAACTCTGATTTCAGCATCATCGATTTATTGAAAGCTATTAAAGTAAAGGAAGCTATTTACACGATAACTGAGGCATGGTCAGAGGTTGCCGGATCTACAATGATAAAAATCATGGCAGAAACTTTGGTCACCATATCAAAGAATGGCAAAAGGAAAGACAGTCACCGTAGTTGAAAACTCTTCTAGTAACAACTTTGCGTCTTTATTCAAATGTCTCAATGGATGTCAAGATGTTGAAGATATGGAGCGGTGGTCAACTGCTGAAAGGGATCTTCGGCAAGAAACTCATCGGAGCTGTGGCTGATGTAGTTGATGATGACGATGACTCCGATATCGGTGACAACGCGACCTCCGTCATATCACATAACAGGTAAAGCAAAAGCATTGGAAATGGTTTTCTGCTACGTCGAACAACAGGCGTCGGTTTCCTCGATTGATATGACGTTTTTGAAAAAGTGGCGAAATTCCACAGATTTTCAGTCTTCAGGGAGAAAAATGACGGAGTTTTTTAAACAATGTAGGGCTTCCTTATTTTGCATAACAAATTTATTTTAAGTTTGATACCTATACTAGACTTCTCAACTTCCCCTCACATTCTGTCATTAGGTTAAAGTTAAGTGAGGGGCTTATTTAAACGGGTGAATCTCTCAGTTTATTCAGAGCGCGTTTCGCTAGCCAAGCACACGTTTCGTTGTTATTTCGCTGCTACGCTAGTAAGCCTTTTGGCCTTACCAAAGTTAGCATCCCGCCGGTTAGGTTCTTGTGAGTCCACCTCTTAGGCGTAACTTAAGTGCTATCTTGCACTATTTAATTTAAGTGTGAATTAACTATATTCTACGTTTTAGTTTTCACCGCAAGTTGACGGTGATTTTGTAACGCACGAAGACCGTGCCTTTCTGTTAACTATTTTGAATTATAAAAGGGTTATTCTAAGGCTTATTCTTCGTCTAAGTCAGTAGTTTTTTTCACACCTGTGTGAGAATTCGCCAGGTCATCATAGGATCTATTCTAGTTTATGTGGAAAAGAAGAGAAAAACTATAAAATCCTTACTACTGGTATGTAAAACTTTTGTAATAAATTGAAAAATTAATAAATGCTTACTTTAACTATTAAAAAAATGAATTTCCATCAATAATTTTTTTTTTTTTTTCATTCTCCGCTTTAACCGGAATTTCTTTTAACCCTGGTCCTACTTAGGCTGGTTAACAGGAAGTCTACTGTATTAGAAATTCTGAGATTTATAAACATTGGATTTACCAATTAGACAAAAGAGCTAGCCACAACTGCTTGTGAATATTCTTATTTAAGTTTCATGCATATTTTCTCAAGGTATTCTGTATACATATGATCAATGTCCTTTTTCCATCACATATGTTCTCATCCTTTCTCTGAGGTATATGTATATAAAGAATGTTTTAATACGAAAGTAACAACCATTTTGATTTGCTGAGAAATTTAATTTTTATGACTCCTTCACATCCTTAAAACATTTCTGGAGTTTACTAAGTTTCAGGCTATTTTTAAATTTGGTGACCTATCGTTAATTTTGTGTTCGAAATTATAGTGAACAATGTTTTCAAACATTTTAATATTATAATTGCTATTTCCGAAGAAAGGGGGAGATATGGATTATCGACAGCTATAAAATAGGACTGCTTTAATCGAGGAAAAAAGATTGCTTGAAGTAATTTTACTGCAGTCAGAATAAACATTATATGACAGTTACCGAAATCTGTATGCTGTTACAGATTTACAGTTACCGAAATCAAGTATGCTGTGTAACAATTTAATTAATATTCTGACTGAATGCGTTAATGGCTGCTGTTTAAAAATATTGTTACGGATTATTATTTAAATAGCTAATGTTAATTGAATTATAAATTAAATTGTTTTATTCCCCGTGCAGTGTAGCACGTGACGAATATTAAAGGAAAGCTAAGCCGGAAAATTAAAAATACAAGAGCATATGCATTTAACATTTAATAAATAAATAAATATCTCTTTTTGATTTCGAGAAAGTTCCAGAACGTTTTCGCGCGCGGTTTAAACGTCTTATAAAAAGGAGGAAAACCTCTCAATTCGGTCAGTTAGTTAGTTTGTTGTTGTTTTAAGAGTTTGTTTAGAAAACTGCTCTTGTTGACTGTAGCGAATTCGCGGATTAGCTTTCCTTAGCTGTTTTGAATTAAGTTCTCTTGAACGTTTGAGTAGTTAAAAGATAACTACTGTGAGATATTGTAATACTGCACGAATATCCGAGGAAAATTTAAGGGTACTACTTTGGTAGACGGTTGCACGGATTTTTGGCGATTTACGTTGGCGCAATTGTTGGCGCGGTTTTTTACAAACGTCAGCCATCTTGAAAAACGCTGTTTTTACGCATAGTAAAGTATTCGAAACTTAAAAAAATAAATATCGTTAAAAGTAATGGATTAATTTTTTGTTGAAAATGTCGTTTTTTAAGATGGCAGGCAAGTGTAAATAAATACATTTACTAATGAGTATAAAATACTAAAGTAAGGTTATTATTACTTTCATATAGCAAAGAAATAGAATAAAAAAACCGCTATAAAAACATTGCGTGCCAACATTTAATTAGATTAAAATATTACTTGAAACTGAATATCGAATTAAAAAACCATCATACCAACATTTAAAAGAATTAGAATATTAGGTACTTTTCCGTTTCGCCGGCGCAAATCTCGCCAAGCAGACGTTATTGGCGACAACATACAGTATAACAAATAAAAAAATGTTAACAAATGTTAGTTCTAAGAATTTTTTATTTTGAAGGCATAAATATTTTAATAGAGCTTAAATTTTGTAAAAAGCCAATAAATAAAAACAATACATTTGTAAAAAAGACATTAATTTAAGAATTTACTATGCTTTCGTTGTTCAACATCCTGATTCACCGGTTCGTATCACGTGACCCCAAAAGATCTCATCTCACGTAAACTATATTACCAAAATCTAATTCTCTCAATAATTATCTACATTAATTTCAAGTTAAATCTTGTTTACAAATCTTAGAATACAAGTTTAAATGCAAGAATTGTTTCAATTCGTACGAATAGCTTACTCAGAAATTATGTAAAACCGCAGTGCTTTACTTCGCTGGTGCATTAGAATTGCTGACTTTAATTCTTGACTTTGCCTTTACTATATTTTCGTCTTCGGTGAGCGGTGTGATTGCTTCCTAATTGACTTAATTACCGAGAATGGTCTTAGGTCATAAAATTGAAGTATCTGGTAAATATTCTATGTAATTTTATGCCAGTATTGGAAAAAAAAATTAATCTGATAAGAAATGGCTGCGACTTGTTTTGAAAATGAGGCGTAAAAGGTTACCAGCGAGGATATTCCGTTTGGCATTAGTTGTACCATTATTGGCGCCTTTATCGCCTGCGCCAGCAAAACGGAAAAGTACCGAATATTATTAAATTCAAATAATCTAAAATACGTTATATAGAATATAATTAACATTAAAACATATGGACAATAATTATCTCAGCAATTTTTGAAAATAGTGTATTAATTTTTTTTAACAAATATTGAAGTATACAATTATAAAAGAAAAGAAAAATATGTACTTACATTTTTTTTGAGTCATTTAACATGTTGTTTATTGATAAGTACCACAAAAAAATCGGAATAATAATTTAGATAACATCTTTGAAGGAATTCGAAGATATGAATTAAATTTTAAAACGGCGCGGAAACGCACAAATTGTCAGTAACCAATCAGGGAGCTGATTATAGCTCGTTAATGCACAAATATTCTATAACCAGTCAGAGAGCTTATTACATCACGCCTAGAATTAATATTATTTAAAAATTCATACATAATAAAATCATTTTTTAAAAAATGCAAAATTAAATTGTATTTTAATATTTAACAGCCATAAATAATGTTTAAATATTAGATTAAATTTATACATATTAAAACCAATTACTTTTAAAGTAAGGTGACGTCATTGATACATACATCAACCACAACATAAAATTTCACAAAATATGATAAACAATAAAAAATTTTTATTTCAAATAAAAAATGCAAATTAAATTGATTTTATATTTAGAAGCCATAATATTTAAAACACGGAATTTATCCACAATAAAACACATTATTTTTTAAATAAAATGACAACAAAGTATCGGTTACCATAAATAACTTATCTAGCAGTGGGTTTACCATAAGTGGTATTACTCGCCAAAAGAAAATCGCCAAAATCCGTGCAACCGTCTACCAAAGTAGCACCAATTTAAGCATTTTTGCTGTGATAATAACAAATTTTCTTCATTTTTCATCGGACTTGTGCATTCATTTCGTAACGAACCCGTACGCACGCAAAAATATATTTCTATTGACAAGCTTATAGAGACATTAGGATTTTTTTTTTTTTTTTTTTTTTTTTTTTT